GAAAAGAGAAATTTAAAGTTTTGTCTTGAAGAAGCATTGCAGTCATTCACTCATTCAACAAACAGTCACTGAAGGCTGGCGCTAGGGCTGGAGTGGAAATGCGAGAACTCAGAGAGTTCCCCGAGGCAGGAGGAGAGACTGGAGAGTGAGACAGAGGACTGACCACTCAGGAAGGGCGCTGGCTGCAACCCTAAGGATTTGGGACTTTAATACTGAAGAGTTGTCATTAGGAGAATGATGTGATCTCATTTGCATTTTAGAAAAGTCACCTGGATGTACAGAGGAGAAACTGAAGGAGGAGAGGCTATAGGCAGGGAGGCCAGAGGGAGATGATGAGGGCCCTGCGCCCATCACGGGCGGTGCGAATACCCGCTGCCTCACCTTTCTGTGACACGCATCGTGAGTGATTTTTCTCCAACAGCTTTAACAATGCCTGTCTGGGGAGCTGAGGAAAGCCCCACACGTCACAAGACAGCGAGGGGACGCCCCCAGCCAGGAGAGGTAGCAGGAAAGCAGGGCCTGAGCACCACAGGCTCTGGCCGAGGTCCTGCAAAGACAGAGCAGCGGGCTGTGGGGACCACAGACCACGGGCCAGGGCCCGTACATCGTCCTCACGAGGCCCCTGAGTGACGCAGGGAAACATCGTCATCTTCTGCACTTTTCCTGCTGCCGAACCCTCTGCATGTCTGTGGGCTCAGAGCTCCTTGCAAACACATTATGGTCAGTGTCCTGACAAATCGGCTGGGACAGAGCTCTCAGGCATGGGGAGTCCCTCAGGCTGGAGCTAGAGAAGTGGGATACCCCTCCCTGCCACTGGTGGGAGCAGAGTTGGAGGGGAAGGAGATACAGTACTTGAAACATTTCATAAAGACTTACCTTCCACTATCCCTTAATGGAATAATTAGTAAATCTGTTAACAATTCCATAATTTCTCCAACTAGGGTGTTTTTCTCCCCAAACACACACTCCTGATATTTAAGCATTCTTGAAATTTTGTTTTTGCACCAGAACTCTCTCTGAAAATAAAACATATGTTGTGTTATTTACTGGGCATGATCGACGTTGGCTACATTTGCTGTGCTACCAAAAATAATTCTCATAAACACCCTGCCTTTTGAATAGGAAGATACCAAACAGCAGAGCAGTTCATGACAGCAGGGATTCAAGACCTTCAACGCGATTTATAGGAAGATGTTGGTGCGTCTTTATAAGAAACTAGGACACTATTCTCAGCCCCAGCACTGCTGACATCTGGGGCTGGGCAATTTGTAGTGGGGCCTGTCCTGTGCATTGTAGAATGTATAGCGACATCCTTGGCCTCTACCCACGAGATGCCAATAGCAACACCCCACCCCCAGTCATAACAGCCGAAAATGTCTCCAGACATTGGCAAAGGTCCCATAGAGCCAAGACTGCCCCTGGTTGAGAACCACTGAACCAGCGGATGGAAACACTTAAGTTCAGCATTTCTTACTCCAATAATCAGAGAGGTGGGAAACGGATTCATGAGCGTGGGTTAAGAATATTAATTATAGCCATAAAAGCTACTACAGAAAACAAAAATTTTTCAAGAAAAAACATGTTCGTATCAGAACACCTTGGTGTGCTTCGTGGCAGCCTGGCACATTCCCAACACGGGGTTTTCGTTGAAATACTGCTCAGGGGCTGACGTCGCCAGGTTGTTCAGGACTCTGCCTGAGGAAGGAATTCTGGCAAAGAAGATGATACTTAAGGTTTTCTTTTCCACAAAAGAGGTAAGGTGACAAGAGGCAGACATTTAATATCATTTCTTCATCGCGGCCAATAGGCTTGTTTCTTAATAAATCAGTGACTGACCCACATGGCATGAGGCCTGGTTTTCATATAATGTATTTGTGTGTACACAGCAGTTATTCGGCCGAAGAGCTAAGAAAATAGATTGAATCCAAATTCTGGGTCTGTTTTGCAAACGAACAGGTCAGAAATAGAGTGAGAATAGAGATGTAGTAAAACTGGTTGTCACTGTGGTAACCGAGTCCTACAGAGGCAGTTGGTGGCACAAGAAAAAATAAAATGATACAGCCTGGGAACCACGGGCACGTGACTAAGCCCCATAAATCCAGTCAGTAACTAAAGGGCTCTACCTAGATACACGCCACCAGGAGAACGTCCCCTCGGCAAAGGCCCAACGTTTTGCTCCTTTATTGAGAGTTACATATTCTGACAGTAACACAGACCTCTAGAAAGTGGAAAACGTTTTCTCTAAAAAGCGGAAAGTGTTTTCTAAGCTGTGCTTGGTTAGGAAGAGGGAAAATCGTAACAACGTTCCCAGGAGGTGTCGCTACAGCATAACTAGCAGTAAAGAAAAGCAGATTGAACTCTCGGTGCTATGAATTCCGTCTTAATTACAAAACACTGCCATTCAATTATCAAGACGCCTCTCTCCCATCATCAGTAGTACTCGTCCATTGCCCAGGGCCGATGCACCCCTCCCTTGCCATCCTGGCTCCAGGGCCTCACGCTTTGCATTTGAGCATCTGGGATGGACAGCCACATGCCTGGTCTCCCACATCCACTCTTCCCCACCGTGGGGTCTATTCTCCATACAGCAGCAAAAGTGATCTCGAAGCACAAATCAGATGACACCATCCCCACCGGACCCCCTGCGATGGTTTCCCCTCACACAGAGAATAAAATCCAAACGCTGAGACCACTGAAGGCAGCAGGAGAGCGTGTTGTGCCGGTTCAGAAGCTAGGCCTGGGCTTCTGCTCTCCTATGGGGATCCTGCCAGCCACCACGTGAACAGGCTGGGCTAGGCTTCTGGATGGAAACTTCTCGGAAGTTATCCACACCACTTTCATGTATGTCCCAGCAACCAAAACTTAGGCATGTGCTAGCCTCAAGAGAAGCTGGGAAATGTAGTCTTCTTTCCAGTCACTTGCTGGGCTAAAAATTCAGGAGGGGACATACCACAGGCTGGGGAAACTGAGGCTCGGTGAGGTTAAATAAATCACCCAAGCTCACATGGCTAACAAGTAGGAGAGCAAAGGTGTCCAACGCACAGCTGTTTAACTCCAAAGCTCTGGACATTTTCTTAACAAGTGAACCTCTGATGCATAAACAGAGGCCCCTTCACACACATATCCTTTGGTTTCCCTACTGCCTGGGGCACCTGCCGTGAAATAGTAGACGGGGTGGAGGGTGGTATTGAGACCTACTTTATTAACAAACATATCATTTAAATTAGAGTCTCTCATCATTGACACTGGGGCAGGACAGCTCTGTGCTGTGGGGACCATCCTGTGCATTGTGGGATGTTCAGCAGCATCCCTGACCTCTACCCACCAAAGGCCACTAGCAACCCCCATCAAGCTGTGACAACCAAAAGTGTCTCCTGCATTACCAAATATTCCCAGGGGGACAAAACTGCCTCCCAGTGGAAAAACACTGCATTAAATTATAAAATACCCTAAGCTGAAGAAATTATAAAAGCGGTGCAGAACATACACATCACCAGTAACAAGATCTTTGCCCTCAAGCACATATTTCAAAGAAGCCGTCATTGCCCAAAATAGTTTCAGCACTTCTCTTTTGGAAAAGCCTTCAGAGCCTAAAGAAAATTCTTTTACTAGTCCCCGTGGTGGCCAGTCTCAAAGGATTGTTTCAAAAATATTCTGAGAGTGGAATCCTAAGAGTGATGCCTCCAAAAGGGGAGCTCTGGAGCGGGACACTCTCTCTGGATGTCTAAGCTTGGGCTCGCCGCCCCTCCCATGAAGCAGCCTCACCCCTTCACGACCAACGTGTTTCACAGTCGTGCTTCATCACTGATGAGGATGTTGGCAGGGCTTCCGGGGAGCTTGGAGCTCCATGGGGGCAGAGGCTGGGCCTGTGGGCTCGAGGCTCTCACCCCTACTCCAGGCTCAGTGCCCGGCCAGGCAAGGCCCTCGGGGAATGTCAGTGGAGTGAATGAATGAGTGTGTAACACTGCACCAGATACTCAGGGATTAGCTAACAAAATACCTGGTGCTTTTCAGACACGCACATGTCAGCGATGGAAATCTGGACCTCGAGGAAAAAATCGCCTGGTACAGGGGGAAATCCCCCAATCATCATAAGATACCACAGAATCACTGGACTATCTGTTCCGAAGATGAAAGAGGGAGCAAAACAGCTTAAATTGAACTCTCTGTTTATAATCTAGGCCTCAATTCCTTTAGAACCCACAGACAGTAATAATAAAACAGCTACCAGTTCTGGAGATCTCACCAGGTGCCACATGTTGTGGGAAGTGCTTTGCGAGCTGTCTCAGTGAAACCTGGTAACAGCCCCAAGAGGCAGATAGAAACTCAACAGTGAGAACACCCTGAGTCAGGGGTTAACATCCCTGCCAAGGTCACAGGGCAGCGAGGGCCACAGAGCCTTAAATCGGGGTCAGTCTGAAAGCAGCTCCGCTCTGTTTACTGCTCCAAGCTGCCTTCTAAGGACAAAGTTTCTGCAGATTCAAACTGCTTCACTGATCCATTTATCACGTTTCTTAAGCACCCAAAGGTTGTGGTGCGCCACAAATTGGTAGATAAGAAGGGTCTCTGCCATAAAGGGACTTGGCAGTGTTAAATCTTCTAAATCTCTTTAGATAGATTCCTTCTATGGAAATGTGTGCCCGCGGGTTGGAGGCAGTCTTTTATGAAAGTCTGAAGGCGTTTGCTTTAAAGTAAAGACAGCTTTGTCTTGGGTTATATTATCTTTGGTCCACAAATTATACTGAAATCAGTGAAAATTTATAATTGTCTTAAAGGGCAGTTAAATGTCACCCTAAGCACGGCTAATAGTTATATGTTGTGAGTGAAAAGTTCACTGTATTCAACAAAACCAAAAGTTCATATTTCAGAAAAAGTAAATCAATACAGAAAAAGTAAATCAATCAACTTTCCCCAACATCTTTATGAAAATATGACCAAGCCTGTAACCTGTCTCTCGTTAGTTCACTTCAACCCACTACTCAGTTCCCCTTTGCTTTATGAACAATCCTTTTTCCCCCAAAAAACGACACCTCTTAGTGTTCATTCATTCTACATTGACTCCCATCAATTTCCTGCTTCTTGTCATTAAAATACAGTTTGAGGCATGGATGAAAATCATTGCCTCCTCTTTGACGAACATAATTGATCAATTTCTCCATTTGTGGACTAAATTGTAAAGGAACAAAGGTGAATGATATCTAAAAATATCTAGCAAAATGATGAAAAGAGTAATGCTTGAAGGGGTTAAAATTATTTCCTGCATTACCGGCACTCAGGTAACTGTTCTCAACACTCAAGAATGGCTCTTCTGCTTCTGCGGCCTTGCCCGCAAGCTTCAGAAATCTTGCGATGAAGAACATTAACCAGCATTTGTCAGTGGCAGTAACCTCGAGAGGCCTGCATTCCAGCACTGGAACGGAAAGAAAAGCCAATAATCCTAAGTCATATTTAGAAAGGAACAGAGAGGCTCATCGCTGACTCTTGATACAGGAGTTAAATACAGTATCCACCTTTTAGAGTTTCTCTCTCAAGGGATCAGCACAGCACCCTGCTTTCATTAAGGTTTGCATATATTACCAGGTGTTTTAAACAATGACGTGAAAAATAACTCTAATGGCTTTAGATAACCTTGGTATGTAAGTTTTGTAAACCAGAGGGTGAAAGAAGAATATTTCCATAGCTTAGTCTGCATGTTGCTGCACTTTGTATTTGGGGGTGATTTTCAGGCATGAAAAGGTGTTTCAATTTCTTACACAATTCTGCCCTCTGTTGCCACTATCTTGAATCACTGGCTTTAACAGAAAGAACAGAATGTTTAAAAGAACAAAATACGAATCATACTCTGTGTGTGTGTGTGTGTGTGTACCTTACTATACACAAGTCAAAATATATAGAATTTTTAACTTGAAGACCCAATTAAATGCATGGTACTGTAAGTCATCATTCTCAGAATTTCTCTTTCCAAATGTTCCAGGATCTAAACTTCTACATTTGCCCATTGGTTACCTTTCACTTGTTGCACCTAATGTGTTTGACACAAATGCAGTCCTTGTCCGTCAGCCTTTGCACATGCTGACCCGAGCCCTCCCGCTTTCTGCCACTTCGCTGTGGATCTCCACTCGTGCGCAGAGTAAACATTCACTGAGCATCCGTATGAGAGACAAGCACTCCGGGCTCATCAGTGCAGCAGGCGGGGTTGCAGCCCTCAGCCTGCGGGGGGACCGGGAGGCTTTACGCTGTAGCTCCGGTGCCTCAAGCTGGAGAGCAAACTAGAAGTCGGAGCCAAGGGACAGAGAGCGGGCTGAGGATCTGAGGCGTTTGTCCACAGTGGCTGTCTGAGCAAAGGGGCTGAGGTGGGCATGATAGCTGAGGGGCTGTCAAGTAACAGGGAACCTAAGAGCTATAAGCAGCTGCTCAGAGCAGGCAGACAAGGGTGGTCTCGACAAACAGCCCAGGAATGGGCTCCTGCCCGGGGTGGGGCTTTTGCACATTCCAGAAGGATCACTGGGTCCAGACTCCTGGCAAGGGCTCAGGCTGGAATGGACGACGTCCACCTCTATGTTTAATACTCAAGTCAACAATCTACGTGCTCGAAGAAGTATTCATTCATGAACCCTGCCTCCCGCTGACCATATCCTCACGTTCACTCACTTAGCACCAGCATGTAGTTGGAATAGACAAGAAAGAAACTTTCCTTATTATAAAGCTAATATGTGTACATCATAGAAGATTGAAAAATATAGGAAAATACGAAAAGGAAAATCCCTCATTGAAAGGTAATCTGTTAACATACTGCTGTATTTCTGATCTTTTGTGTGTACCCACACTCATTTTTTAAATTAAAGTTGGGATCATCCTACATATAATGTTTAATGCCTGCTTTTTTACTTCCACATTCAGCAAATATTGCTATGTCAGTACTGTGCTAGGTGGTGAATACATATTGAACATAATATTCATGGTTCCTGCCCTTGTGTAGCTTATAAGCTATTGGAAAACATATTATTTGTAAATATTTTCCCATGTCCTTAAAAATTGTTTGAGAATACACATAGTTATGATTGGATTGTACTCCGTTTTACATATTATTACCATTAGTCAATTTTTCAGTATTATAAAATGTCATCCAGTGAGAATTATTGGAAGTAACCTTTTTATTTAATATATTTTTATTGACTTCAGAGAGAGAAATATCAATGATGAGACAGTTGTCCTTGATCGGCTGCCTCTTGCAGGCCCCTGACTGTGAATCGAGCCCCACCCCGGGCATGTGCCCTGACCAGGAATCGAACCAGGATCTCCTGGATCCTAGGTCGATGCTCAACCACTGAGCCACGCCTGGCCGGACTGGCAGAAATCTTTCTAAGCCTCCTTGACTATTTTTCTAGAGCAACTGTTAGAAATTAAATAACCCACAGGATATTAATATTTTTATTTATTTTTATTTATTTTTAATCTTCACCTTTCAGAGAGAGGGAGAGACAGAAATATCGATGTGAAAGAGACACATCGGTTGGTTGCCTCCCGCACGAGCCCCAACCAGGCCAAGCCTGCAACCAAGGTACATGCTCTTGGCCGGAACCAAACCTGGGACCCTTCAGTCTGCGGCCAACGTTCTAACCACTGAGCCAAACCAACCAGGGCAATGTTTTTAAGACTTTGGATATATATTGCCAAATTGCTCCCCAGAATGACTGCCCCAATATAAACTCTTCCTGCAGGATGGAAAAGGACCTATTTCCTCACACCTTTACCAATATTATTACTGTTTTTAAAATTCATTATACAAAAAATCATTGTCAGTTTGGTACCTGTTTTAATCTGCATTTCCTTGATTACTAGGGAAACATAAGGTTGTCTTTATTAACAACTTGTATGTTCCTCATCAACTCTAAACGCCATCAGATGCAAATTCTTCCCTAGTTCAGAAACGTTAAGTTTTGAGAAAACCTCCTTCCTAGAACCAGTGAAATCCAGTACTTGTTCTTTAGTGAATTCATTCTTCTAACAACCATTCACTGAGCACTTGGGTACCTGCTATGGGCTAGGCACTGTCCTGGGTGCAGTAAAGGATGAGCCCAAACAGACCTGGGCCCTGCCAGCTGGCTGTCAGAAGGATGAGGGAGACTGACCATCCCATAATCATACAAATGAATATAAATTTGAACTATAAAAAAAAACATGAAATAGATGTTGATATGAACTGGGGAAGGTTTTCCATGTATTAGAAATTGATCTGCGAGTTTAAAAATTAAAAAAAAAAAAATAGAAGGCTTTAAGGTAAATGAGGGAGGGAGGGTGTGGGAAATTCTGGAGAGAGAAAAGAGCGTGTACAGAGGCCTTAGGGTAGGAAAAAGCATGGCGCTTAGAGAACTGGAAGATGGAGACTGAAAAGCAGAGAGAGCAAAGAGTTTGGTTCAAGGTCAGGGTGGAGACATAGGAAGGAGCCACCCAGCACCCACACCAAGCCTGCTCCTGCTCCAGGAACTTGGGAGACCTCAATGAACATAAGAGGCGGAGTCCTGCTCTCAAGAAGCTTACATTCCAGTGGCTGGGAGGGTAGGGGGCAGGGGAGGGAGGAGCAGAGACAGACAATTTTTTAAAAAAAGAAAACAAGACAAAGCCAGGTAGCCGCAAAAGCTATGCAAAGAGCTAAAACACGCTAACATGATATACAGCATGACTAGGTAGGTATAACATTAGATTGAGAGGCCACTCTGAGAAAGGGACACGTCAGTTGAGATCTAAATATGTAACGAGAAAGAACTGGTACAATAAATGAGTAGGAAGAGCCTTTCCTGGCAGAGGGAACAGCTGGTGCCAAGGCCCAAAGGCAGAATGTACTTGAAGGACAGAAAGGAGGCCAGGGTAGCTGACATCTAGAGGTCAAGAGGAAGAATCTGACAAAATGATGCTACCCAGAAACGCAGAGGCCATGTAGGGCATTGCACACTAACTAAGCCGAGGAACTTAGATTTAGAATAAATGCAACAGCAAGCCATGGGAGTGATCTTAATCTGGGTAGTGACACGATATGGTTTACATTCCTAAAAGCTCATCCTGGGTACTTAGCAGACAACAAAAAATGAAAGTAGCAAGGCCAGTTTGGAGACTGACCATAGGCCAGGGGAGANCTAGAATAAGTGCAACAGCAAGCCATGGGAGTGATCTTAATCTGGGTAGTGACATGATATGGTTTACATTCCTAAAAGCTCATCCTGGGTACTTAGCAGACAACAAAAAATGAAAGTAGCAAGGCCAGTTTGGAGACTGACCATAGGCCAGGGGAGAGCTGAGAGTGGCTTGGACTCTGGAGTGATGCTAGTGAAAAGCTGAGGTCAGGGTATCCCCTCTCACCACTCCCGTGCATCGTCATACCAGGAGTCCTAGCTTGTGGAATAAGACAGGAAAAGGAAACAAAGATATATTGGGAAAGGAAAAACTACAATGGTCTTTGTTCACAAATTATATGATTGTCTGTGTAAAAAATCAACAAAAAAATTCCTGGAACTAATAAGTAATTATAGCAAGGTTAAAGGATACAAGGTTAATATACAAAAGCCAAATGCTCTGTGTACCAGCAATGCACAATTAGAATTAGAAATTTAAAACATAATATCATTTATCGTGGCACCTCAAAAATAAACACTTAGGTATAAGTCTAACAAAATATGTACAAGGTCTATATGCAAATCTACAACTGTGATGAAAGATATCAAAGAAGAATTAAATAAACAGATACTCCATGTTGATGGGTTGGAAGACTCAACATTGTTAAGATGCTTGACTTACAGGTTCAATGTAATCTCCATAAAAATCTTCTGTAGAAGTCTAGCTGATCTCTGACAAAGTAGCAAAAACAATTCAATGGGGATAGTCTTATTAATAAATGGTCCTGCAACAATTAAACATCCATATGCAAAAAAAGAATCGAGACACAATATTATACCTTTCACCAAAAAATGACTCAGAATGATCCTAGATCCAAATATAAAATGAAATACTATAAAACTTTAGAAGAAACACAGGAGAAAAGCTATGTGACCTTGGACTTGGCAATTTAAATACAACATCAAAAGCATAATCCATGAAAGGAAATATTAAGTTAGACTTTATTAAAATTAAAAACTGCTCTATGAAAGGCACTGTTAGAACGAAAACACAAGCTACAGATTAAGAGAGAATATTTGTAAAATACATTAGTCATGAAAAGCTGCTACTGTCCCATTTACTACAACCTTCTGACAAGCTGCTGTGATGTAATGCATTTACCCTCTGCCCTAATCGGAACGTGTCCCTTAAAGACGATTCTCCCTACCTCACCCCATCGTCGCCTGGAGGGCAGCCAGCCATCTGTCAAGACGCCCATGCTTCTGCCACGTCCGCTCCATTCTCTCATCTTCGACAACA